GCTGAGACACTAGAGCGCAGCACGTCAGCTTACTTTCCTTCACACACAGCATTCTGTGGCAGCCACAAGTCAAAAGCTGCCTGGAGCTACCAGAAGCTTAAAATCAAGAAAGGATCATCTGCTAGGGCCTTCAGGGAGAATGTAGTCCCTCCAGCACCCAGAATTTGGACTACTAGCCTCCAGAGCTGTCAGCTGACACCTTTGGGACCCTGTCTCCCCGGTCTGCTTGGCATAAGCCTGGCTCCACACTCTTAGCTTTGTGATGTTGACAGTAAATGTTTGTTGTTTAAAGCCACCCAGCTGTGATAGTTTGTTAACAGGAACCCTAGGGAAGCTAATTCAGAAGGGAAGGGAACCAGTGAAGGAATGATATGGAATTGGTCAGTGTTTTGGGCAGCTGTAGTTCAAACTCACTGGGGAATTCTGGGAGACAGTAAAGCTCATGTTAGAGTTTCTCTGTCAGGGGTATTTATTCCCCACTTCCCTCTGTCAAAAAGGAGCTCTGGTAGCGTAGTGGGTTATGATGAGTTGGGCGGCTAAGCACAGGGTCAGCAGTTTAATCTACAAGCGACTCTGCAGAAGAAAGATGAGGCTTTCTACTCCTGTAAAGATTTATAGCCTTGGAAACCCTATACAGGGTTGCTGTGAGTTGGAACTGACTCCATGGCATATAACCACCACTAACCCATTTGTCAGTGGCTGAAGGTGTTCCAGGGGGCACTGGAGTACCTGGCACTTGTGGTTGGTGGCTGTCAAAGTCTTCGAGTCAGACTTGAAGTATCTTGATACTTCAAGGTTGATAGCCTTCTGGCAACAGTGACAGCTGAGGGGAATCCAGGGAGGCCACTGATAGTGTCTGCCTCAGTTGTTCCACAAACTTTGTGTCTCTGGGTGTGTTTATAACTTAAAAATGGAATTTTCTTTTGATTTAAAAAAAAAAAAGTTGTGAAGCTCATTTTAGAAGGTTTAGTGAAGAGTTGAAATTTGGAATCTGAACTTTGTCTTTGGTTGGATTTCGTTTGGCTCTTAGAGTGAAAGTGTGCTTACTAATGCAACCAATCACTCCTCAGAAACATTACCTAGGATTACTATGAGCCAGAACAAACTCTTAAGAGCAACAATGCTACCTCTACATAGAGAATAATGTTCTCACCTAGGCCTTGTTGTGGCTAAGTCATTCAGAGCAGGACCTCTGGGTATTTCAGCTGCAAATAACAATTAACAGACAACTCTAACTTGTGAGAACTGTAGGTAGTCTCTGGGGTGAACTGCAGGGTGTACCGAGAAAATCACGAGTTTCTGTCATTCTCTTTTCCCGTCAGTCTTTCCCTCTGTCCCCATCTCTTTCTGATCCTACCCCCACCTCACCCTAAGTGTGGTGATCTATCATCTCCCCTTAACTAGTAAAATTTAAAAAAAATTATTTAAAAATTATTTTTGGTATTCTAGAGCCCTGAAATTATTCTTTCAACAGATATTTACTGAAAATTAAGGGGCCATTGGTGATTCTATGATAGAATTCTCACCTTCCATGTGGGAACAGACTTCATTGGTGGTCACCACTCATCTGTCAGTATGTTACTATGTTACTGAACACATTTCAGCAAAGTTTCCAGACTAAGAAGGACTAGGAATCTACGTTTGAAAATCAGCCAATGAAAACCCTCTGCTAATAAAAAGAGCCTTAAGAATCTGCGTTGATGGAATGTGAGACCTTATCCAGAGAAGCAGCGACACCAGAGAGGGAGGCAGAGATGGGGACATGGAGAGAAGGAGCAGCTGAGGACTCTAGATTCATGGGAAGAAAGGGACTAAGAGATGGTGGCCAGGAAGAAGACTTGCAGAATGTGCCCTTTGGTAGTGTAAATTATTATATATGCCTGAGTGTTGTGTTTTTTTGTTTTTTTAAAAAAAACAAAAAACTAAAGTGAAAAGAGAGAAATACTGTTAACTGATGGTACATGGAGGGGATTATGATCATTGTAACGAAACAAGGTGTATGATTTGTTGAATGAAAAACTGATGATCTGCCCTGTAAATTTTCACTCAATCCACAATAAAAACCTTTTGGAAAAGAAAGAATCTGCCTTGAGTCTATGGTAGGCAGTGGGGATTCATCACTCCTGATATGCATTCTGTCCTTCATTCTTCTGATAAAAGTCTTAACTAAAATTTTATTTCTCAAAGAACTTGCAAACCAAGTTCCTTTTATTTGTAGAAATCTCTGATTTATTTTTCCAAGTATCAGTAGGAAACCCATTGAAAATAATTCCTTACCCCAATCTATCAAAGATGTAAAAAGTGCCAAAGTGCAAAGTAAAAGCTTCGAGCTTCCCTATGAAATCTCTAGATTTCTTTACAGTTACCAACACGTTGACACACATGCATTACGAACCCTGTCACAGTGTAATTTTATATTAATCATGCTACCCAAGCCTAATTAGAAGCACAGTGAATTGAACACTGCTTTAGATTGTGCTCCTTTCTTCACTGAAAATAAAGTTATGTTGGTTGAATTCATAAAATTTAGTGTCATCTCCCAGCAGTGTCGTCACTAGGGTTGGTGTTACCCGATGTGGTAGTTCATGGTGCCACAATCTCCTCCACCTGCCCCCCATAAGGGCAGCTTGGCCCCAGACTACTCTCAGTGGTCCCAGCAACTTCCTGCAAGCTCCTTCTCACCCCCAACGGCCAAGGGGAGATGCTCCGACTAGTGGGTGACAGGGTGGTGTGAGGAGTTACAACACTGGGTGACAGGTGACATGAATCCTAGCAATGCCATTGCCTTGGTGGCCCCTCCCCGTGCAACGCTGGCTCTCCTACCACAGACTCTGAGGCCATTTTGGTGTTACTCCCTTGACAACATTTGGGGTACAGGGCTGCCTCCCCCCAATACCCAGTGATGCCACTGCATTCCAGTTTGAATTTGTGCCATTCACCCAGGCCTGCCCCATGGTTATTTCTGGTTTAAGTAAATGCCAGGAACTGCCCTGCTCCCCCGAGGCTATGCAGGACATATCTGCCAAGGCTGTGAACTATCAGTGCCACTCAGCACCAAGAGACTGTCGCCAAGGAGGGTGTTTATTTGAAAGAGATGGTTTCAAACCATGAGCATGCTTCTGAGGAAGTGCTGCAGGGTGGGAGGACAGGAAGACAGGTGGGCACTGTAGCTTTGTAAACCTATACTCAGTATAGGAGACCTCCCTCTACTTCCTTAGCAGCAAAGTCTGGAAGGAGTCCAATGTAGTAGCCACCTGGCTGACCCCTTCCTCACTAGACCAGCCTGCTAACTCTCTCTTTAAAAATGTATTATGATAAAATATATATTATCATTTTCATAATTTTTAAGTGTATAATTCAGTGTCATCAATTATATTAATATGTTGCATAACTATTGTTGTCATTGTTAAGCGCCATTGAGTCAGTTCTAACTCATAGCGACCCTGTATAGATTTTCTGAGGAGTGGCTGGTGAGCTTGAACCACCGACCTTGCAGTTCAAACCAACCTTGCAGCCCAGCGTAGCAACGCCCAGCGCCACACCAGGACCATTATCACTCTCTATTTCTTTGTGTGGCGCTGTGGGCTAATGTGTCAGACTGCAGTCTTTTGAACTGCAAGGTCGGTGGTTCAAGTTCACCAGCTGCTCCTTGGAAACCCTCTACAGGGTCGTTATGGGTCAGAATTGACTCAACAGCACTTAACAACAAGAACAACAAACAGAAAGTTAGTACCCCTCAAAGTAACAACTCCCCATTTCTTCCTGACTTAAGCCCCTGGTAACCAATAACAAACTTTTTTCTCTATGAATTTGCCTGTTCTAGATATTTCACCTAAGTGAGATCATACAGTATTTGTCCTTTTGTGTCTGACTTGTTCCATGCTGCATGTTTTTGAGGTTACTTTACGTGATAGCATGCGTTAGAACTTCAACAGATGACCATGACTTGTTGTCCATTCATCTGCGGATCAACATTTAAGTTGTTTCCATCTTTTGGCTACTGTGGACAATGCTGCCATGGCCATTTGTATCTGTTTGAGTCCCTGTCTTCAAGTCTTTGGGTGCATGCCTGGAAGTGAGATTGTTGGATCACATGGTAATCCTGAGAGTCATTGATGATGCAAATGGTCAAGTGCTGACAGTATGAACCCACCCAGAGGTGCCTTGGAAGACAGGCCTTTGGATCTGCTTCTGAGGACCCTATGGAGAGCAGTTCTACTCTGTCCACACGGGCTTGCCACAAGTAGGAATCGATTGTAAGGCAACAAACTAACAGCATGGTAATTCTGTGTTTAGCCTTTTGAAGAAGTCCACATTTTAAGCAGCCCAGAAGCTCAGACTTTTCCAGCAAACATCCATTGCACCTGCAATTAACAAACCTTTGGGGTGATGATTACCTTTCTCTCCCATCAGACCTTACACACTGCAAGCGCAGCGATGGACCTGACTTATCCACCATAAATGCTGAATGAATGAATGAATGAATGAAAAACAGCACCATAGCCATGACAGAATTCAGCAACTTTTTCAGTGCCTAATATATGGTAGGTGACAATTAATGTTGAGGAAATACGCAAATCGACTAAAATATGACCACAGTACAGAGCTCAGAGAACTGAATGAAAAGCTAAGGCATAACATTTGCCCTTCTTTTATATGAGCCACTAAAACAATTGAAAAGACACAATACTCCTTGATCTATAATTTGCAAAAAACATGGATAAGTGATAATTACATCTTCCTCCAGTCCCAAAACAGGTACTAGGTTAGAAACAACAACAACACAAAAACCATTAGGTGTTTGCCTGAGTATTTTTTTTTCTAATGGTTTCCATTTTTACTCTCTCTCTTGACTCATTATGAAGTGTCTGCTTGCACAGATGAGCAGCTTACAAAGAGCACAGTCCTCAAGTTAACAACAGGTCGTGGACTGTGTTGCCCAAGGCATCCTCTGCCCCCCTCCCACCAGTGATACAGCGAACAGCTCTTTAATACCACACCTGTTTTTAGCTTCAGTGAAGGGGCCACAGAGTTCTGGGTCTGGATCCAAAATGTGGTCCATTTCCTTTGGGGCTTTTTCATATATCTTTTTTCTTTCAGTCAGACCCTTGTTCATCTCCACCGGAGGGAAATCATAATAGCCCTTCCTCTTGGCTTTGAGGCGCAGCTTGTTCCGATAGTGCTCTATGTCTGACTTCTGCTTCAGAGCTTTGTTCACCTGGGGAGAGAAACCATCTCAGGCACATACCTGGTCATCAGTGCCAACAGGTGTGAAGTTTTCATCAGAGGGTTTCAATCCAAGAAAAGCTATCCTAAGCTTCATCTCTGGTCCTCTGAGTCAGTTAGGCCAACCTGTGTTCCTTTCTAAGGACAGCCCAGAAGTAACGGAGCCTGGTGCTCACTTAAGATGCCTGACATCTATCTGGGCCTCCTTCTCTCCAGATGCCCTGACTCATATAAGAGCTAGACCGGGCTCCAAGTTCTTCATTTGTGACATTGGCCTTAAACTCACCTATGACCTTTTGGGTCCCTGCCTCTGCTTTTTTGGTTTTCCTGTTTGGGTACCACTGATTTAGCACCCAGCTAGCTCTTGGTGCCCCTCCTCTAGCATCAGCTCTACAGAACCCAGTGACCTTCCATTGTTATTGAGCTGGTATCCAGCTAGATAAGACAGCCTGTTCCAAAAAAGGCTGAGTTGAGATAAGAATGAGGCAAGAAGGGAGGGTGGACACCTGATCTAGAGGCATCTCCCACCTATCAACCTACATCACACAGCTTATTTTTATAGACCACATCTTTCTTGACAGGCAGATCATTTTGAAACCTTGAATGTCTAAGCAATATCAAGCAGGTCCTGCTCAAGAGGGCAAAGCCTGATCTGGTCTTTCAAAAAGAAATATGGCAAATGTACCCTATCACATGTCAAACATACAAGGAGATTATTATGTCATTCAAATAACAAGTGATGAGAATATTACACCCACAACAGAGCTGCATGGTGAAATCTGCCTGGTATGTATGAATGATACAGAGAACAATTAGTGCTTTACGTAATCAGACCTGACTCTATTTGTGCACTCATAGATGTTATAGAGATCATTATTGCAGCTGTGATGATAAGGGGCCATCATCAAACTCTGGTTAGTGTGGGCATTTTCCCCACCTGACAGCCAAGCTACTAAACTGAAGCACTGGGGCGCCTAGTTATCTGATTATAACTAATAGATTATAGCAATGTATCAGGAACCGTATGTTTTATGTGTACAGGAACCCAAAAGGCAAGTCACTGTTACTCCCTCATTTTACAGATGAGGAAATTAAGGAACCTTCTCTAATTCTCACAGATAACCAGAGATGGAATCAGGATTTACCTGAAGGAGCTTGAATCTAGTTGTGTATTATGTGCATAACCCTTTAAAAGCCACCACTTGCCTGTCAGTTTGTTGTATTGTGGTGGCTTGTGTGTTGCTGGGATTCTGGAAGCTCTGCCATGAGTATTTTAAATACCTGCAGGGTTGCCCAAGGTGGACAGGTTTCAGATGAGCTTCCAGATGAAGATGGACTAGAAAGAAGGAGAGATGGACTACTTACAACTATAGAGTCACTGAAAACCTTATGAATAGCAGTGGGACACTGTCAGATATAGTGCCATGAGAATAGCCCCTCAAGTTGCAAAGCACTCAAAATGTGACTGGGGAAGAGCTGCCTCCTCAAAGTAGAGTTGACTCTGATGATGCAAATGGAGTAAAGCCCTCAGGACCTTCCTTCATTTGCTGATGGGGCACAGCTCAAAATGAAGAAAAACAGCTGTAAACATCCATTAATAATCAGAACATGGAATGTATGAAGGATGAATCTAGGAAAGTTGTCAACAATGAAATGGAACACATAAACATTGATACCCTAGGCATTAGTGAGCTGAAATGAACTAGGATTGGTCATTTTGAATCTGACAATCACATGGTTTACTATGATGGTGGTGGTGGTTATGTGCCATGGAGTCGGTTCCGACTCATAGTGACTCTGTATGGGGTTTCCAAGACTGTAAATCTTTACAAGAGGAGAAAGCCTCATCTTTCTCCTGCAGAACAGCTGGTAGTTTCGAACTGCTGACCTTGAGGTTCACAGTCCAATTCGTAACCACTATGTTACCAGAGCTACTATGCTGGGAATGACAAATTGAAGAGGAATGGTGTTGCATTCATCGTCAAAAAGAACATAACAAGATCTGTCATGAAGTATAACGTTGTCTGTGATAGGATAATATCCATGCGCCTACAGGGAAGACCAGTTAATACCATTATCATTCAAATTTACACACCAACCACAAAAGTCAGTGATGATGAATTTGAAGAATCCAACCAACTTCTTCAGTCTGAAATTGATCAAACATGATATTGATAATTACTGGTGATTGGAATGCAAAGGAAAATAAAGCTTTGGTGATAGAAATGATGCTGGAGATCGCATGATAGAATTCTGCAAAATCAATGACTTCTTCATTGCAAATACGTTTTTTAAACAACATAAAAGACTACTGAACACATGGACCTTACCACATGGAATACACAAGAATCAAATTGACTACAGTTGTGGAAAGAGACAGTGGAAAAGCTCCATACCATCTGCCAAAATAAGACCAGGGGCAGACTGTGAAACAGACCAACAATTACTCATATGCAAAATCAGACTGAAGCTGAAGAAAATGAACATAAGTCCATGGGAGCTAAAATATGACCTTGAATACATCCCACCAGAATTTAGAGATCATCTGAAGAACAGATTGGATACATTAGACACTAAAGACTGAAGACCAGATGAATTGTGGGATGACATCAGGAACATCATACAGGAAGAAAGCAAAAAGTCATTAAGAAGACAAGGAAGAATGAAAAGATCAAAATAGATGTCAGAAGAGATTCTGAAACTTGTTCTCTAGTGTGTAGAGATGCTAAAGCAAATGGAAGACATGAGGAGGTACAAGAGCTGAACAGAAAATTTCAAAGGTCAGTTTGAGAACACAAAGTCAAATTTTATAACAAAATGTGCACAGAACTGGAGTTAGAAAACCAAAAGGAAAGCATTTCTCAAGCTGAAGGAACTGAAGAAAAAATTCAAGCCTCAACTTGCAGTATTGAAGGGTTCTATTTCAGGCCTGGTGTACTGGACTACAAGGTTCCTTTGAACTGCAAGATCGGTGGTTCAAGCTCACCAGCTGCTCTCTGGAAATCTTATACAGGATTACTATCAGTCGGTACGAACTTGGTGGCACTTAACAACAACAACAAAATGGGGTAATTATTGAATGTTGCAGAAAGCATCAAAAGAAGATGGAAAGAATACACAGAATCATTGTACCAAAAAGAAATGGTTGACATTCAACCATTTCAAGAGGTAGCATATGATCAAGAGAAGTCCAAGATGCACTGAAGGCGTTGGCAAAGAACAAGACACCAGGAACTGATGAAATACAAATTGAAATCTTTCAACAAACTGATGTGACACTGGAGGCACTCACTCATCTATGCCAAGACTGGAAGAGATCCATATTTGTGCCCATTCCAAAGTGAGGACCCAATGGAATGTGGAAATCATAGGACAATATCATTAATATCATGTGCATGTAAAGTTTTACTAAAAACACAAAAATGGCTACAAACATACTTTGATAGAGAACTTCCAGAGGTTGAAGATGGTTTCAGAAGAGGACATCGAATGAGGGATATCATTGCTAACTTCAGATGGATTTTGGCTGAAAGCAGGGAATACCAGAAAGATGTTTAACTGTACTTTATTGACTATGCAAAGACTTTCGATTGTGTGGCTCATGACAACATTGCGAAATAGGAGTATTCCAGAACACTTAATTGTGTTCATGAGGAACCTGTACATAGACCTAGAAACAGCTGTTCAAACAGTACAAGGGGACACTGAATGGTTAAAAAACTAGGAAAAATGTGTTCCAGGGTTGTATTCTTTTACCATACTTATTCAATCTGTATGCTAAACACATAATCATAGAAGCTGGATTATATAAAGAAAAACATGGCATCAGGATTGGAGGAAGACTCATCAACAACCTGAGACATGCATAATGATGCAACCTTGCCTGTGAAAAGTAAAGAGGAATTAAAACACTTATTGATGAAGATCACAGACCACAACCTTCAATATGGGTCGCATCTCAATGTAAAGAAAACAAAAATCCTCACCACTGGACCAATAAATAACATCATGATAAATGGAGAAAAGATTGAAGTTGTCAAAGACTTCATTTTGTTCAGATCAACCATCAGTACTCATGGAAGCAGAAGCTAAGAAATCAAAAGGCGTATTGCATTAGGCAATTCTGCTACACAAGACCTCTTTAAAGTGTTGAAGACCAAAGATGTATGAGGACTAAGGTGCGGCAGACTCAAGCCATAGTATTTTCAATAACATCATAAGTATGTGAAAGTTGGATAGTGAATAAGAAAGACCGTAGAAGAATTGATGCATTTGAGTTATGGTGTTAGAGGAGAATATTGAAAGTACTATGGACTGCCAAAAGAACACAGCAATATGTGTTGGAAGAAATACAGCCAGAGTGTTCTTTGGAAGCCAGGATGGCCAGCCTTTGTCTCTCATACTTTGGACATATTATCAGGAGGGACCAGTCACTGGAAAACAATATCATGTTTGGTAAAGTGGATAGTCGTAGAAAAAGAGGAAGACCCCAATGAGATGGATTGGCACAGTAATGGCAATGATGTGCTCAGGCGTAGCAACGATTGTGAGGTTGGCCCAGGACCGGCAGTGTTTCATTCTGTTGTGCATATGGTCACTATAAGTCGGTACCAACTCAATGGCACCTAACAAAAACCTAACAACCACCTACCAACCCCTTATGATGAGAACACAATGATATGGGGAAAGTCTAAAGTCAAAGCTTCTGTAATGGTTCTACTCAAGGAGAGCCAGGGGCTGGTGTTGGTATGGGCTCACAGAGTTGAACTTTTCAATTTGGAAGATGACCAAGGCAGTGGTTCCCTGGCAGTACTTTCAAGCTGGTTGCAGAGGTGGCAAAAATTTAGAGGTCCAGGCTGTATTCAGAACAGACTGAATCAGAATATTCTAGCATGAGGCAGACACCAGCTACAGTTTTCAAAAGCCCTGGAGCAGATTCTGAACTACCACCTGGGAGGGACACTTTGGTGTGGAGTGCTGGTTTTCAAATTGTGCTCACCAGCTGTTCCTTGGAAACCCTAAACAGGATTGCTATGGGTAGTGCATGTATATATTAGTGGAATATTTTATATATGTGTGTGTTTATATATATATGTATACACTTACACTAAGCTGTGCTTGTTAAGTTGCTTGTTAAGTTGACTCAATCAAAGTAAGACTGGCATGACAATGAAAAGGAGATTAACAACAACAATTAAAACATCTATTTTAATGATGTATGAATAATCATCAACCCACTGTATTTTTATTTTTATAATTACACAGTGAAATAAAGTAAAACCATATAACTGGAATTTTAAGGTAATTATATGGTAATTTTATATGAGGAATTTAATACTGTCTTTTTAAAGCATAAAATTGTTTATTATGAACTTAAATATTTAACAGCAATAAATATTACCTGTTACTTGTAGCCTCTCAGAAATCAACTAAAATGCTATACATTGAATTTTAGGTTGAATTTTAGAGCATAATGGTTATGAACCTCACAGTCAGCGGTTTGAAACTACCAGCTGTTCCACAGAAGAAAGATGAGGCTTTCTGCTCCCGGAAAGATGTACAGCCTCGGAAACCCTGTACAGGGTCGCTATGAGTTGGAACCAACTCCACGGCGCATAACAACAACAACAACATGGGTAGTATAGTGTTCTATTGAGGTCTGGTCAAGTCACAAGATGGCCAAGTGCCAGGAGCCCCAGTAGTGTAGTAGGTTGGGCTACTAACCACAAGGTCAGTAATTTAAATCCACCAGCCACTCCATGGAGAAGGATGAGGCTTTCTGCTCCTATAAAGATATAGAGCTTTGGAAATCCTATACAGGGTAGCTGTGAGTTAGAACTGACTAAATGGTGCACACAGCAGCAGCAGCAGCCAAGCATCCATGCAACTAGGAGGAGCTATGAGTCTGAGTATCTATGTCAGCTTTGAGGATAAGCTCTCGGATGTCACAATAACCAAAATTAGAAAAAAAACAAAACCAAAAAAAATAGAAAGAGCTGAACAATGGGAGATGTGTTTTTCAGTCAATGTTGTACTTTCTCAGCTGAATTATGCCATCAATTCAATTCTGACTCATCTTGACCCCCTGGGACAGAGTAGAACTGTTCCATAGGGTTTTCATAGCTGTAATTGCTAGTTACAGAAGCAGATTACCGGATCTTTCTCCTGATGAGCCTCTGGGTGGGTTCGAGCCACCAACCTGTGGTTAGCAGTCGAGCACTTAACCATTGAGCTACCAGGGCTCCTTTTCTTCTCCACTAGGTAATTAAAAACGATAACCAGAAAGACTATAGGAACACAATAGATGCTTAGGGCACAAAACATAAAGTTGCAGCATATGACAGGATTCTAGAATATACCTCAGTTTGCTCAAAGGCTTAAAGACAATAGGCAAAAACAAAAGCAGAGCATGGCAGGGGTGGGTGAAATGACAGTGATTATTCTCTGTTATTTTATAACTTTCTTTGTATTTTATATTGTGTTTTCTTTAAAATACCTTATAAAAATTTCATGTAATTTACAAAAGATAAGTTTACAGTTTCTGAGCTGTGATTTCTTCACTTGACCCAGCCACGCATAAGAGAAGAACAATAAGAAAATTATAAGACAATCTGCCTGAAGCTCCACAACACAGCCAATTACAAGGAACAGCGTGGGATTCTTTTCCAATCCAAATGTCAGCAAGGTCCATTCCTCTAACTACTAAAACGTTTCTGGTCAAGGAACATGCTCATTTGTTCTCCTTCTCTGACAGGATGATGGGTGTGTCAGAAAAAAAAAATGGAGTGGCTGAATTCAGAGACCAAGAGACTGTCCCCATGGTATCCACATCATTAAGGTGGGAAGACAGGATCCAGTCATGGCGACTATTACTGGGCAGAGGGTCCTAATCAGAAGCAGTTATCAGCATGTTAGCATCATCCGTAGAGGTCTCTAATGACTGGGATCATGGGTCTGGTGGCAGTACTGGGCCCAAGGAAAGAGTGTGGCTGTAAGTGGCTCTGGGAAGACATATAGTTTCCCCATGGTTACAATGCCAAGTGGCATAAAGTAAGATGGTCAATTATTTCTTGAAAGTAACATGTATAGTGTTTGTCGTATGCCTGGTATCCGCTCCTTGGAAACCCTACAGAGGGTCGCTATGAGTCAGAACCAACTCAACAACAACAGCAACAGGTACTGTTCTCAGTGCTTTAAACAGATTAACTCTGAATTTTCATAGCAGCCTCATCTTCTAGATGGCCAAATGGAGGCACAGAGATTTAGGCTAGCTCAGTCCTTCTGCCCAGGCTATAGGAGGCATTTACTGAATCAGGTTTGACAAGTGGCCTGGATGAGGGAGAGAGGGCAAGTCTCTGACTTGTGTTTACCAGCCCAGGTAGGCCTGCAGCAAGCTCCTGAGATGCTGGGGGCAAGAACTTTAAAACTGAAAATCTCTCACCTTTTGCAGGTAACAATAGCAGGTATAGACACATGAAATAAACAGCAAATATGTCTATTTAGAGAAAAAGCAAAACTAAAGAGAAAACTATAGGAAAGTATGTATGTGTGTACATATACACATGTGTGATGTAAATATTCACACCAGCTTCCACATGTATGTTATTGCTAAAGGTTCATAACATTTTAGCCCACTGACCTTTCTGCTGCAGAAGATGGTGGAGGAATGGCAGATATTTTTTACCCCATTTGCTCTCTGTCTAAACTACTAACACATTTATTTTCTATCTCTCTATTGATCCATCTGTCTACTGTCTGTTTTTCTTTGGTGGAATCGTCTCTTTCGTGTATGCTATACATATTTTTTTAGACTGTTGGCTATGTTGATTAACATGTTGATACACAACGGAATCTTGGAAGCAGGCAATGGGTTATTTCATGTTTGTTCAAAGGAGTAAAAGTTGTTTTCAGAGCTTGTATCATGGGCTACAGCTCAGACACCAGTCTTCTCTGGCTCCTCCAATCTCCACTAGGAAATAGGGCTTTCTTTGTTATGTTCATTATGCCATGCCCCAGTGGGGGTGACTTCTAAACCTAATCATTTCTGAGCTACAAGAAGAGCAGTATGGACACAAAGACACACACTCTAGAGCAGACAGATCTCTTAAAGCCAAGGAACACCAAGAGACCAAGGAACCCCCAGGTCCACCAACAAGGAACCAATCAGCACCACTGAGACCCTGATTTGGACTTTGAGCCTTCAGAACTGTGAGAAAACGAATTTCTGTTCTTTAAGGTCACCCATTTGTGTTATTCACCAGCTGCTCCTTGGAAACCCTACACAGGGTCGCTATGGGTCAGAACTGACTCAACAGCACTTAACAACCTTGGTGTTACTACAATACTAGGAGCCCAAGACGGTAATGTCACTAAGAAATGCAAAGGGATGTGTGTGGGGGTGGACCATAGAACTTCTGTTATTTCTCTTCATAACTACAGTTTTTGGAAAAGTTCCCTCTGGGCTTTCTAACAGTGGTGGAAAATACAAGGGTTAAGTCAAAAAGTGTTGCTGCTAGGGTTCTAGATCATACATGCACATAAAACACTGGTTTTCTTCCAAACAAAACATATTAATCATGTCTCTGCAATCAGTGGATGGCTTCAGACAAGTTCTCCCAGTAATATTCTTGTCTTAGTCTAGTTAGAGTGAGTGCCTTCAAATAAAAAGTCTCATCATAATAAATGGCTTCCAAGGGAATCTGCTGGAAGTTATATTCTAGTTATATTCAGGCAAAGAAGCCAGCTCAGAAGGTAATGGTGTCTAGTTTTTGAGATTCCAAAGATGTTGTCTTCATAGATTTTCTTGAAGGACACATGATGAACACGGGGCTTATTAAGAAGAAGTTTTAAGAACACTGAAAAGTGCATTTGTAATAAGAAGGCCAGGAAAGTTGTGGCAAGGAATTTCCCCATCACAAGGCTGTGCCTGCTCATTATTTGAAAGTAGCAAGGTGTGCCCTCCAAGAGAGAATTTTGTTGGGCAGCCTTACCCCATCCACACTCTACAGCTCTAATCTTGCCCCTTCAGACTTCTTTTTGTTCCCTAAACTCAAAGAAATTGAAAAGTACAATGATTTAAGACCCTTGAGGATGCCACAATTGCTCTTTTTATATGGCATAAATTGAAGAGTGCAGACTTCTTTGGGGAAAGGATTAAGAGATGGAAAGACAATTTAGAAGTATAGTGACATAGATGGAGGATATGTCGAGAAACAATAGCTTCACATTGTGTTATTTTTGTTTCATAATGGTTTCTGTGATTTTGTACTAATACTCTCGGACTTACCCTTGTACTATGAAAACATTCCCCAACAAACTCCTTTTGGGTGACTGGTATCCCGATCCATTCCCCTGAGCCAGACACATTCTCCACCCAGCTACTCCTGGTACTTCTTCTCTGTGACCTGGCTGGACTCTCTTCCACACTGGGACCTCTGGGCCTTACCTCACCATTGAGGACAGCTGGCTCCTGGCTCCTGTCTGAGGCTGGGTGGACCACAGGGAGCGCAGGGGGCTTTATTGCAATGAGCTGCACGGAGCCGGAAGACGAGTCAAAGGGATCAGTGGCCACCTTGCCAGAGTTGTCAAAAAGAACTGCTCCCTCCTCTTCATCACTTGCTGGCACTAAAGCATAACATAAACATAGATTTTATGATTTAGGGGAGAATTTCTGTAATACTCACAACTTGGGTTGTTACTCAAGAACAACTGTATCTGCTTCAGTGCCAAGGGCTCATCACTACTCATGAATTTCATTTAGATTTAAGACCTACAGTGGCTGCAGGACCCCTGGTGGTATAAACACTTACACATTCAGCTGCTGAGTGAAAGAACAACAGTTTGAACCCACCCAAGGACTCCATGGGAGAAAGAACTGGTGATCTGCTACTGTAAAGATTATGGCCAAGAAAACCCCACGGGGCAGTTCTACTCAGTCACATGGAGTTGCTATGAGTTGAAACTGACTTGACAGCATACTCCAGAAACAACAACAACACACTAGCTAGAGCTCAGCTGCATTACGGAGGGGTTGGAAGAGTGCAAAAGGTTTGAATTTAAACAATAAAACTGCTCTTTCAAAACTGTAAGAATATGCCCTAAAAACAAAAGAGAAAGAATTGAGGAGAGAGATGAAGGTAGGGAGGGAGGGATAGAGGGATAGAAGGAAGAGGAAGGAAGAATAAGGAAGGAAGGAAGAAAAATAAAATAATTTCTCTATATTTGAGCCAAAGGTGGGAAAAGTGCAATTTGGTCAAATAAAGCAGTTAATTTAAAACATGACAGTCAGCACAATAAACACATTCTGTTCCATCTCTGCCACCAAAACTACCATTTTTGCATGCTGTTAAGGCAACATGTCTTCTCTGGTTAGATGGTCATACTACTCGCCGATGACAATTCATTCTTTGTTTTCTAAAGGCTGCTTCTCCTGTGAGTTGGGTTTTGGTTCCTTTCATTTCTCTAAAATAAAAGAGATCTAAGAAATAAGCACCAAGAGAAAGGGATTTAAAGTTACCGACAACTCCCCTAATTAAATAGAGTGATATCTACCTTGTTGTTGTTGTTGTTAAGTGCCATCGAGTCGGGTCCGACCCATAGCGACCCTGTACAGGGTTTCCGAGGGTGTAAATCTTTATGGGAGTAGAAAGCCTCATCTTTCTCCCGCGGAGTGGCTGGTAGTTTCGAACCGCTGACCTTAAGGTTCGCAGCCCGATTCGTAACCACTACGCTACCAGAGATATCTACCTATGCTCTGTTAAATGAATTCTCCCCCTGACAGCCAATTCTGCTGTCATTGCTGAGACACGTCAGTCTGCTTTTTGCTTCCATAACTAAGCTGACAGGAGAAGTTCTAAGGCCTATGGTATCTTGCTGATTTACTTGTTCTTAAAGCATATTCCCATTAAGTAATGATAAGAATGACAGCTTATTGAGCTCGGCTCAGCAAGAGATAAATCAAGCTTGTTCAACCAACTAAACTAGTAAACAGTTTGGGAGCAAAATAGGTGTTATAGAAAACATGAACGGACTACAACTGTATTGATTGTTCCTCTTGTGGGCTCAAAAGATTGTGGAGTGTTATTTAAATTACTGAAAAACACATAGTTGTATCATTTTGTCATTTACGTTAATCACAGAAGATTTGTCAAATTAAGCCAAGTAAATTGTTACTTTAGGATGTGAACGAAGTACCTCTGAGTTTGACAATGTGTTGTTGTGAAGTGCTGTCGAGTCGATTCTGACCCACAGCAACCCTGTATAAGGTTTCCAAAGAGCAGCTGATGAGTTTGAACCTTGCAGTTCAAATGACTTTACAGTCTGATGCATTAGCCCACAGCACCACACCAGGACTCCTGACCATGCGTTATACTTGGAGTATTTTTTAGTTCTGTGGGCTTATTTGCAAATAGCAGCTCATCAAGTGGCCAGTTACAGAGGAAAATCTCTATTCAGATGTGTTGACAGATGCATGTATGTTTTTAGAGTACAGTTTTTCTGAGCATCTCTACCTACCTGCTTGGCCACCATGATCTCATACCTGAAAAATTGCTATAAAAGTCACCTCCAAAATGGCCTCCAAAATGGTTTCTTTCCTCCCAATATTCATACCTTTCCAAAATGTATAGGGCTGACCTGCGCAGCCAACACACAATGACAGACATGGCAGCATGTTGTTTCCAAGGCTAGGTAATAGAAGACACTGTGGCTTCTATCTTGTTCTATCTTGCTCTCTCTTGGATCATTTACTGGGGCGGTAGCGGGGGGGGGGGGGGGGCACCAACTGCCTTGTTATGAGAAGTCCAGGAGGCAAGGAACTGAGGCCTCCTATTAACAGGCACATAAGTGAGTCATTTTGGAAGTGCATCCTAAGTCCTAGTCAAGCTTTTGTTGTTGTTGTTGTTGTGAAGTGCCGTCAAGTCATCTCTGACCCATAGCAACCCTGTATAGGGTTTCGTAGGAGCAGCTGGTGAGCGTGAACTGCTGACCTTGCAGTTCAAACGACTGCAGTCTGGCACATTAACCCATAGCGCCACACCAGAACTCCAGGTTTAGATGACTACAAACCCAGGCCAGCGGCTTGACAATACACTCATGAGAGTCCCTGACCCAGAACCACCCAGAACTGTTATTTTAGGTACAAGTCATTGTACCTGGGGTACAATGGTCAAGTGCTTGGCTGCTGATCAAAACCTATCCAGGAGTCCCACAGGAGAAAGATCTAGTGATCTTTCTAGATCTTTCTCCTAAAGATTACATAGAAAATCCTATGTTTTCTACTTTATCACATAGGTTGCTGTATGTTGGAATCAACTCAGTGACACCAAAGTAAAAACCACCAACAACAAGTGTTATGGTAACTTGTCAGGCAGCAACAAATAATAATGAATTTCCCTCCTAAACAGCTTCCCACCTCTGAGCTTCCACTCTTGTTCCCCTACCCTAACAATCCATATCCCACCAGCCACCAGAACTGACAGTCTTCTCAAAAGTCACATTACTCTTTTGCTTCATACCTTTCTGAGGTTTCACGACCCTCAGAAAAAACCCTAGTGTCTTTACCATGGCCTCAAGTATGAGCTGGTGCTGTTCACCTGGCTGGCCTTCCCCCCACCTCTCTCCCTTATCCATTTTCCTTCTGGTCCTTGACAACATCAGCCTTGTTTCCATCACAGAGCTTTTACATCAACTCTCCATCTGCTTGGAATCTTCTTTTCTCAGATTCTTACATGTATGGATCCTTCTTATTTTTCAAGTCTTAGCTTCAAAGAGAAGCTCCCATGACCACCAATCTAAAATAACCTACTCCACACCCTGCTGTTATTTTCTTCATACCACTGTAATGATTTAGGGTTGCTCTGGTAGCATAGTGGTTACAAATCGGGCTGCGAACCACAAGGTCAACAGTTTGAAACTACCAGCTGCTCCGCGGGGGAAAGATGAGGCTTTCTGCTCCCATAAAGATATACAGCCTCAGAAACCCTGTTCAGGGTCTCTAAGGGTCGGAACCGACTCCACGGCACATAACGACAACAACTGTAATGATTTACAGCCCCACCCCCACCCCCCGTCAGGGCATAAGCTCCATGCCTGCCCATCTGCTTAAAAGACGGATACCCAGTGCCAGTACCAAGATTTCAAATAGAGATAGCTTTCAACTAGAGTGTGTTGAATGAATGCATAAGTCAACTGTTTGAAACTGGAAAAGAAGATGTTGTTAGTGCACACAGAACAGGCTAAACATATAAAAGTTAAAGTCATGACATCACTAAACTGTTCAGAGCTGAAACATGGTGTGGAGCATTTCTGTTGCTCTGGGTTGTAATCACTGCATGGATAGGATGAGGTGGGAAACAGAACCATAGTGGGTCAGGAAAATGCCATACGGGGAACTAGACAAACGTCAGTTCTTTCCCATGCTTTCTTGCAAAAGAGTCATATTCAGATTGGCACAGTAATTCCTCTTGGTGACCCTCCAGGAAAAAAGGACTTAGAACATGATTTCTGGAATCAGTACATAAAAAACATAAGAATAAATACTAAAACATTGTTGCTGTTCTTAAGTGCTGTTGAATCAGTTCCAACTCACAGTTGGTGGCTTGAACCACCAACCTTGTGGTTCGCAGTCCAGTGCTTAACCTACAGTGCCATACCAGGACTCCATTAATGCATGAGTATATTGAAGTGTTGTGTGAGTATAAAAGATTCCTGGGAATTTTTAATGCATAATTGATTTCTAAAGAAAAGGGACATAGAATGAGAGATATCTTTGCTGACATCAAATGGATCTTGGCTGAAAGCAGAGAATGCCAGTAAGAAACTTACCTGTGCTTTATTCACTATGCCAAGACTTTCAACTGTGTGAATCATGATGAGCTATGGACAACATTGAGGAGAATATGTATTCTGGAACATTTAATCATGCTCATGAGGAACAGTTGTTCAGACAGAGCAAGGGGGCACTGAATGGTTTAATATCAGGAAAGGTGTGCACCAAGGCTGAATTTTTTCCACCATATTCATTCAATCTGTATGCTGAGCAAATAATCTGAGATTGTATGAAGAAGAATGTGGCATCAGGATTAGAGAAAGACTAACAATCTGCGACATGTAGATGCTACAGCTTTGCTTGCTGAAAGTGAAGAGGACTTTAAATACTTACTGATGAAGATCAAAGACCACATCCTTTGGTATGGGTTGTACCTCAGTGCAAAGAAAACAAAAATCCTCACTGCTGAACCAATAAATAGCATCAAGATAAGTGGAAAAAATATTGATGTTGTCAAAGACTTAATTTTTCTCGGATCCACTATCAACACTCAGGGAAGAAGAAGTCAGGAAATCAAGTGACGTATTACATTAGGCACATCTGCTGCACAAGACCTCTTTAAAGTGTTGAAGAGCAAAGAGATTACTTTTAGGCACTAAGGCACGCCTAACCTAAGCCATGGTATTTTCAATAGCCTCATATACATGTAAAAGTTGTACAATAAATAAGGAAGACCATAGAAGAGTTGATGTATTTCAGCTATGGTGTTGGAGACGAATATTAAAAGTACCATAGACTGTCAGAAGAACAAACAAATTTCTATTGGAAGAAGTACATCCAGAATGCTCCTTAGAAGTTAAGTTGACCAGACTTTGTTTCTCATACTTTGGGACATATTATCGGGAGGGACAAGTCCCTGAAGAATGACATCATGCTTAGTAAAGTAGAGGGACAGTGAAAAAGAGGGAGACCCCCAGCAAGATGGATTGGCATAGTGGCTGAAACAATGGGCTCAAGCGTAGCAGCAATTGTGAGGATGGCGCAGGATTGGACGGTGTTGCGTTCTGTTGTACATAGGGTCACTGTGAGTTGGAACTGACTTGATAGAAGTTAACAAGAACAACAACAAAGAAAAGGGCATTGGAGACTGTGAAGGAAAGGGCCGTGGTTAAACCGAGGAAGTGCCCTAAAACACCAGCCATCATCACATTAAATGAAACTCAACAACTGTCTCACAGACACTTGACCTTCTGAGTTCTGTTCTACTTGCGTAGCTGGTTCTAACGTCAATAAATTAAGCTTTACGTAGGCAAACTTCAGGAAAGCAAACTTCGTTTCTTCCTGTTTGAGTTGGCACAGGGTGAGGCCTCCCACTTGAGATAGCAAATGCTTTTTAAACAACCCATGCTCTTTTGTTCTGAAATTTTCATTCAAGTTCAAAGACAAATCATCTATAATTAGCTTAACTGCCCTCTAATGTTGTTGATCAGATAATAAATCAGGCTGCGCTTCTCTGGAAAAGCAAAAAAATAAAAAGTTAAAAAATGCTGGAACTGTTTTTGAGCTATCTCTGACAAATTTTTTATTCCTTAATCAAAGAGAAAGCAGTAATCTATCTTCTAAGATCTCTAATTCTTGTCCTCCCCTTGAGCCACCTGTCCCAACACTACTGGAAGAGAAGGCCTAGTTCGATGTTGAGCCCTGACTGTGAAATCTCTTAGTGACATAAAGAGTCTAGGGAGTTAGTTTGCCTTAAATGACTAGAAACGCAAATACATACATTATGTGATCATCTTGAATTTATTTCTCATTTTCTCTTGGAAAAGACTCTTTGTTTGGTGATACTAGTTTCAACTCAGAAGTTCAAGTGTCTATATTTGGTTCAAAAAACACTACATTGTTTTGTTTTCAAAATCCCAGCTTTCACATGAATCTTTCATAGCTGTATTTAAACATCATCATGAAACAGACCCTAAAATTGCCTTGAAGCTCTGACTAATAGTCATTGAGCTTCTAGAAAGAACCATACCAACCATGTTGCTAGCAGGGTAAGTATCATTTCCTTTTAAAGTTCTGATTTTCATAAAAGAAGACAATTGGAGGCAACAGATACAAGAAACCTTTTGGAAAATAGGAGTTTCAGAATCATGGTGTGGTACATTAACATTTATTAATTATACTTAGCCTAAGAATGGAGTCCTGGTGTGGTGTTACGGGTTAATGCATTAGACTGCAAAGTTGGTATGAACTACAAGGTGGGTGGTTCAAACTCACTAGTCACTCCTTGGAAGCACTGTACAGGGGCCCTATGGGTCAGAATTGACTCAACAGCACTTAACAACAACAACAACTGTAAGAATGGGCACTAGAATGCATATAACACCATAAGAAAACAGTACTCGAAAGTTCCAGATCAACAGAGGATAATCTCGTTTTAGAAGCCACATTCATACAACAAAGTCACCAATACTTTTGTAAAATGAGATGAAAACGTATCTTTTACTTTTTCCATGTTTCCATTCAATTCTTGTTTCTTCCCTCTTCCCTCCCTCCTTTGAGTTTATCTTCTAACCCAATACAATACACTATTGAGTCTCTTGGCTAGAAGTAGACCTAGTTTTATGATAAAATGGAGTCCCTCAATGGAAAGGAAGGACCTTCTCGGAAGGTCTGTCCCAGAGATCTGGCATGTTTCTGTCTCTGTTGTGTTTTCCATTCTGTGGTCTGGTCTTACCATTTCTATTGGAAAATTTCAACACTAAACCTCACTGAATGAAAACTTGTGGTGAAATAGACACAACCAACCCTGAAAATAAATGGAGTATACTTTTGGAAGAAAAAAAAAAAAAAAAAGAAATGCAACTAAGCACTTTATATCTGGAGAAAAGATAGCTTTAAAAGAAAACAAAAACCTTAAACGATACAGTGATGGCATTTTCTCTATACGTCCATCTGTTGTGATACTTATATAATCAAAGTGAACTAACAGAACAGGGAGGCAGGCAGAGGGGGCAGACGAACGAGAATGACGAAAGTCAGCAAGAACATTTAGACTAGATCAGTGTTCGGTAAGCGCGGGCGAGTGTGTATGTGTGGGGGGCGAGGAATGCTGGTGTTTGGAGCTGGCTTGGTGTCTGCTTCCTCTGAGGATTAAATGAAGGGGAGGAGGAAAGGCATCGGTTTTTAGACATGTCCTTATTGACAGAAGAGTCTGTCCATAGCACATTTTTAAGCACAATAAAAGGGCAAAGAACAACATGCACAGTGATCCCATTTTATCACATAAAACAAAGCAGTACAACCAAACACAAAGATACGTGTGTGTTGTCATATGCACCGAAAAAGGTCTGAAAGAGACACACACTTAATTATTCAAGGTCATTGGCGAATGGGGTATCTGGGAGAGAATAGGTTTTTACTTTCTGTATTTCTACAACCAAAACGAGTTGCTGTGAATTTGATTCCAACTCATGGAGGCCCCATGTGATTCAGTGTAGAAATGTGCTCCATAGGGTTTTCAATGACTGATTTTCCAGAAGTTGATTGTCAGGCCTTTCTTCTGAGGTGTCTCTGGGTAGACCTGAACTGTCAGCCTTTCTATTAGTAGCAGAGTGTGTTAACCATTTGCACCACCTACAAACTTCTTTAAATACTTCCTAGAAGTATATAAAGACAGAAAGGAGAGGAAGGCAGGGGAGGAGAGGAACTAGGAGGACAGCGGAGGGCTGGCATCATCTTGGCTTGGTGGCAATGGCCCTAGTGAAAACAACCTGCCCTGTGGCTTCTGGTACCAGCCCACTTCTATCTCTCTTACTACCTCCCTCTAGAGAAAAGGTAGGAAAGTTGCTAAATTCATACCCCTCCTCACAAGCTCTGTTGGTGGTGATGGTGGTGGTGGTTATGTGCCATGGAGTCAGTTCCAACTCACAGTGACCATGTATAGGGTTTCTGAGGCTGTAAATCTTTGCAGAAGCAGAAAAACTCATGTTTCTTCCATGGAATCGCTGGTAGTTTTGGACTGTTGACCATGACATTAGCAGGCTGACACGTAACCACTATGCTACGAGAATTCCTTCCTCACAAGCTCTAGAGCAACTCTTACTTTCTGCGTGCCTGCTCAATTAGAAGCTGATGGGGCACGCTCTTAAGTGGTCCCAGATTGGGTAGCTATTCTAGGAAAATTCCACATATCATACCTTAACTCGGACAAGGAAAGTTCTGTCTCTCCATCACAGACACGGGGAATTCAGGGAAGAAAAAAAATTCGAGGACTAAATCGACATGACAGTTTCAACAATATGATACAGTAAGTGGGAAGAGAGTACACATTTTCACCACAGAGTATAAATCCATGTGTCAGTCTTCCTTTCTCTGTGTTTCTTTCTCTCTTTTTTTGGTTAGAAAAAGGAACACTTGAAACCAAGAAGATATTCTGACATTAGTTTCAAGAGAGTCTCTGAACCACTCTTCATCGAATTCCTTTTGAAGGGAAGCACAGGCTCAGATCAACCACACAGATCAAAAGGGTAGCATTTGCCCAAGGAGAAAAGCTCAGAAGGCAGAAGGGACAAACAGAAATGGGAAACGCAAGGAGGAAGTGGAATAAGTGCTGTTACCCTGTGGGGCTGGCAACCAATGCCAGGTAACAAAATGTGTATAAATTGCTGAATGGGCAAGGAATTTGCTCTGTAAACTTTCACTTAAATCATGATACATTAAGAAATAAAATAAAAGGGAGGCACAAGTAACCACAATGCCAGATTCCTGGACTTTCCACCTGGCATTTCTGTAGAGCCCCACTGACAACCCTTTGGCATCCAAAAGGAATTTTTTTCTGCTCGGAGTGGCAGGCACTTTAAATCTGGGCTCCAGAAAGCCACAGCTGCAGTTTCAACATCACACATACAAGGACCATGTGGAGAGGGTCAGAACAAACCTGGGGCCATGTGGAGACCAAAGTAACAAGATGGCCTGCAGATGTGCTCTGCATTGCCAGGGAGCTGGGAGGACTAGTAAACAATCAAACATCAATCCTTTATAGAGAGGAGAAACCAATCAGTGATTTGTGATAAAGAGAAACTAAACAATTAAGTTTCCCTGTAAAATAAAAGCAGAAGCATGAGACTGATTTTTATGGTGACAGATTTGTTCTTTTGTTGGTTTTTCTCTGGGATAGATGGATTAGCAATATCTGGACTCCCTGGTGTAGACCAAACCCCTGAAACTTATCATGGGAATCAGGGCAAGAAAATGAGGGGAGTCTCCAAGATAAGCAGCATTTCAGAGACCTGTCCAACCTTAGTGGGTACTAGAAATCACACCAGGTCACTCAAGAATTGGAAAAATCTCGATGTAAATATCAATTTGTTCTGCGTAGCGGTTTTCTAAGGCACATACAATTCTGAGAGAACAGGGTGCAGAGAGGTAAAAGAATTCAGAGGAAGGGGATAAAGTGAGCATCCTGGCCCTTGAGGGTCAGACTAGGGCAGAGCGAGGGTTAAAATACAGTTATGTGAGCGGGAGTTCGCGTGTATGCATGTGTGAGGTGGGGGCGGGGCGGGGGGCGGTGCTTGGCAGGGGCAGCATCTCACCATTTCTCTTCCTTGCCTCCTCCTTTGTCACTTTCTGCTGTACCATTACATTCTGGGGCGAGCGCCTCCCAGAGCTGGGCTTTCCTGATTCGTTGCTGATGACAGAGCCGTTCTCACTGGGAGACCTGCTGGAGGTAACCATAGCAACAGGGGAGACCGTGTAAGTTTTGACTGGCGCAGCCTATTCTCAAGGTTATTTTATTTGCACAGTTTGTGTCTGTAGCCTTTCATTCTGGTTTTCTCCACAAAGAAGAAATGACATGGAGGAAGGAAACATTCAAACAACAACAACAACCTGCTGTACAGCATGGGTTAAGCAGCTGGCTGTTCTAAAGTGCATTTGCTAGTGTTCAGCTTTGTAGAGAAGTTCCCCGCGTACATCTCTTTTTCATGAACCCCCCAGTGTCTGTGGAAATGGTGGTGATGGCTGTTTGTACAGCATGCTTTCTTTTTAAGACACAGCACTTTGGATAATATTGCAGGATGTCTGAATTACCGTGGGTATCTTCAGGGATGTGCATAAAATATGGTTCTCTCGAGTCACTCTCTTTATAACATATACTTTGACTGCTAATGCTAAAGTTACCCCACCAGTGATTTCTTCTCTATCTCTCTTTTCTCTCTTTCTCGTACACATCTGTATGGGGACACACAGACCCCCACACACTCACCCTTTTAACTGTGGCAACTGATGGGTAAAAACCTCTTATATTCTGAGACTACCAATTTGAGCCAATCATCCAGTCAGGAAATACTCTGTATGCACCTCCTCTGTGCCAAAGGAACCATGGTAGCATAGTGGATTATGAGCTGGTCTGCTAACTGCAAGGTCGGTAGTTCAAATCTACCAGTTGTTCCTCTGGAGAAAGATGAGGCTTTCTGCTACCATAAAGATTTACAGCCTCAGGAACACTTTACATATGGTTATGAGTAGAAACCGACTCAGCGACACACAACCACTACCGCCACTCTGTGCCAGGCATGTGGCACATAAGGGTGCTAAAACAACATGCCATGCTCTGCAAGAGCTCCCTGTCAGTAATACCTACTATGTACCAAGGACTGGGCTGAGTGTACAATTCTCTGACTTGGTGATTGTCACTGTGTTTAGTAATGAGAGATGTGAAACTGACGATGGTGAGGTGGTTTGTCCAGGGCAGCATTGGGAAGTATCAAATTAGCACTGGGAGCCATGGCGTCCCCTGCAGGGAAGGGATCTCCCTACACAGTCAGAGCTTCCCCGTTGATGTGGCACTGTAGGATAAGCACTGAACTGATAATCACATGGTCAGTTGTTCATACCCACGAGCTGCTCCTCAGAAAACCTATACAGGGTCACTATGAGTTAGAACAGACTCAACGGCACTTAATAACAACTTAAAAATGTAACAATGTGGTGTTGTAGGATAAGCATTGGACTGCTAACCCCAGGGTAGGTGGTTCAAGCCCACTAACTGCTCCTCAGAAGCCCTATACAGGGTTGTTTTGAGTTGGAACTGACTTGACAGCACTTAACAACAACTTTGGTGTGTAAAGTCTGATGTGATGTGACCTCTGCTTCGCGGACTCATCCCTTCGAACTCCCTTCCTATTTCATGCCAGCCTTCATGCTCTTCTATAAGCTTATCTGGACGTTCCCTCCTCTAGGCTCTGCATATACTATGCCACCTGCTTGGTACACTCTTCCTACAGATAGCCTCATGACTTACACTTCATTTCAACTGAGTCTTTCTCAAATGTCACTTCATCAGAGAGACCTTCCGTGACTTCCTACCCAACACAGCAACATGCCCCTTCTCCAGCTCTCTGTTCCCTATTGTCCTCTGACTTTTCTTCTTTGCACTCATCACCCACTACACTTGTTGTTGTTAAGAGCCGTTGAGTTGGTTGCAACCCATAGCAACCCTATACAGGGTTTTTGATGAGCAGCTGGTGAGTTTGAACCTTGCGATTCAAACTGATGTTGCAGTCCAGCACATTAACTCACAGTGCCACGGCTGGACCCACTACACTACTCTCTATCTATTTCTTTGTTTATTGTGACTCACTTCCCACCAAACTATACTCTCTATGGGAGCAGGAACATTATTTTGGTCACTGTAATACCCCACTGTCTGGTGAAGAGCAGACAATCAATAAATATCTGTTAGGTGACAGGAAGGAAAAAAAAAGAGAGAGAAAAGTAGCTCTTCCAGCCTTCAGGTGTCTCAGCCAAGGGACCTGGCCGGGGGTATTGGCTTAGGGAACTGAGCCTGCTGTAGGGTTCATCACTTCATTTTAGGGCAGTCTTCCTAATGAATTCCTTAGTCTCTAATCTAACTTCTCTCATCTGTCATCCACATTGCCACTACAGTTGTTGGTTTTAGATGCTGTCGAGTTGTTTTCGACTCCTAGGGACCCCACGTGACAGAGTATAACTATTCCATGGGCTCTCCTTGTTGTTGTTGTTAAGTGCAATTGAGTTGATTCCGACTCATAGTGAATCTGAACCACTAACCTTGCTGTTCAAACCGACCTTGCGGTTGAGTGCTTATCCTACAGCATCACACCCAGGCTGCCAGGTTCATAGGACCAGAGTGCCATATCTTTTTTCTGTGGATCTAATAAGTGCATTCAAACTGCTCAAATTTCGATTAGTGGCCAAGCACTTATCTGTGGTGCCACTAGACCAGTCTTTTCTAAAAGACACATGTGACATCACTGCATGCCTCGAGAACTTTCAGCAACACCCCACTGCCTAGAAAAGAAAGGTCAAACTCCTTAGCCTGGTAGTTACGATGCTCCTAACCTATCTTTGAAGGAGCTCTAGTATTGTAGTTGTTATGAATCAGGCTGCGAACTGTAATGTCAGCAGTTCGAAACTACCAGCTGTTCTGCGGGACAAAGATGAGGCTTTCTGCTCCCGTAAAGATTTACAACCTCGGAAACCCTGTGCAGGGTCGCTATGAGTCGGAACCGACTCCACAGCATACAACAACAACAACAACAACCTATCTTCAAGGTTCATCCTTCACTACGTCCCAATCCTGAGAACATTTACCAGTGAAGTCAGCATGCTTGTCCCCTCCTCTCCCACATCTCTCAGACCTGTGTAACATTACCTCTCCCAGCCAACTGACATCTAATCCTCCTCAAAGTCTTTCCTGGTCAGAAGTATACAACACTTTGTTCAGACTCCAAAGTGGGAACCCACTCATCTTACTTGGTTTCCTGGCTATTTCTTTCTATGTTTCTGCAGTCATGGGATTCTTGGGGTTGGGAATCAAGCTTATTAATTTTTTGTGTGTGTGTGTGTGGACAAATATACAGCAAAACATTAGCCAATTCAACAGTTTTTTACATGTAAATTCAGTGCCACTGATGACACACATTCACTATGTTCTGCAACTATTGCTACTATCCTTTTTCCAATTATCCTACTACTGGTAACAGAGACTGTTGTTATAAAAATTGTAAAATGCTGTTGAGTCGGTTCTGACTCATAGTGACACTGCATAGTATTTCTGAGGAGTGGCTGGTGGGTTTGAACCACTGACTTCACAGTTCAAGCTGACCTTGTGTCCAGTGCTTTATTGTCAGCGCCACACCAGGACCCCTAAGGCTTATTAATTTTTGGAGCCTTTCAAGTGCCTGTCAAAGTACTCTGTTCACAATAAAAACAACTGACTGTTGAACTGAAACCATATACTCAGTTGACATATTAGGAGCCCTGGTGGTGCAGTGGTTAAGCACTTGACTGCTACCCAAAGGTCAGTCATTCAAACTCACTGGCTGTTCAGTGGGAGAACGCTGTGACAGTGGGCCTCTGTAAAGATTATAAGGCCATGGGAAAAGCCTCAGGGCAGTTCTGCTCTGTCCTAGAGGGTCACTACGAGTTGCAATCAACTTGATGACAATGGATTTTTATTGAGACAGTGCCAGATGAAATACAGCTTCGGTGGATCAAAGGCATTGATTTTAAGATCAATGAAAATATTTAAGTTTGACATTAAGGCCAAATTTGTTATGCACCTACTCCTCACTTACCAACGATCTCATTATCTGATATTTCGCATTTATGATAACAGTGACAAATCCACTATCTGATTATCCTGAGCATTAACTATACATATCTGGCAGGAAGAAACGCCAAGGTGTGAGGCAAGAGTAATGCTGATTGCGATGGTTAAGGTTTCAGTTTAGCTGGGCCATGCTTCTCAGAGGGTTGGGCAGTTATATAATGATGTAATCTGGCAGTTACATGAAGGGGATGACATACTAAAAAAAACAGCACAGCTAACCAGGGCTTTAAATTGATTCATTCTTGTTTGACCCCTTACTCAGAATTTGTATTGCCACCCCAGATATACTGAATCAGAATCCAGATTTTAACACGCTCCGTAGGTGATTCTTAAGTGTATATATTCTTATGTTAAAATGTAACTGACTCAGTGGCACTTAACAACAACAACTACATATCTAGGGTAGAAATGCAAATTCTCAGCAGGGGGCTCTACCCTAAATGAACCTGTTGGAAGCCCTGGAACTAACATGAGGGCTTCAGTCTCTCTGGCCATCAGTAATATTTCTTTTGCTGATATGGACAGGCAAAAGTTGGCTCTATCTTACCTCTTTCTGGTCTCTGTGGATTTGGCAGTCTTGATGGTGCTTCCGTCCTGAGCGAGGTCTCTTTCCTGAGAGGTAGGAGCATCTCTAATAGGGAGTGGAAGGACCACTGTTTCCTGAGTCACAGGGATGACCTCCTCATCTGCCCCTTGCTGGCCGAGGTGCTGCTTGGCATAATCAAAGCCTTGCACTGGCTGCAAAGAGGAAACCAGTTTGCAATCATGTTTCTAGCAAAGTGTGACTCTAATGAAGACTTGGAGAAGACAGGCAGGGAAGTACATGTAATTGGACCACACTTAGTGTCCCAATAAACGAGAGTTAACTCAAATCCCCATCATTTTTTCTGCTTTGCAACACCAGAATCCGTGTTAACTGCACCTAGCTACAGAATCGCTATAGATGAAAGTTGCTCAAATGACTAGTGTAAGAAAGATGCGCATATATGTGCAAGAACAAACTTATTTCAAGGATCTTAGACCATTAATTTTAAGTCAATGTTGTTGTTAGGTGCCATCAAGTTGATACAAACTCACAGCGATCCTATGCACAACAGAATGAAACACTGCCCTGTCCTGAGCCAACCTCACAATTGTTGCCACACTTGACTGCTAATTAGAAACACCTTTAATTGATGTGCTAAAGCAGGTCCTGCAGAGCCTCCTGCCTAGAAGTATTGCACCATCCTTAAACTCAGCTCTCATGTAAGGTTATATGTAATAACAGGTGTGTGGCTTTGTCAAGCCACTTGAGCTACCGGAACATCAATGATCTCATCTGAAAAATGAAGACAACTCTACCTGCTCTATCTCCACCACGCTTGGGTATTAAAGGGGATTGCAGATATGGAAACAGAGAGAAATGGGCTACAAAATGTGAGGCAGTGCAATCATTAATAATACAACGGAATGTATGGAATCACTTTTTAATCCAGACTTCTCCCTTAAGCAGGCTGGCTCTCCTTTAACTCATTACTAGGAAATTAGCAAGGCTTTTATTATACAGTGTCTTAAATCCCTAATGAATAGGGCAGCTGTGAGCAAAACCCAACAGACATCTATTAATGGGGTAATGAAAAACCAAGAGGCATGTTTAAGCAATTCCTGGGAGTGTTACAACTCTCTTCATACTCCAAAGCAGCACAATACAAGTTTGAAGCAGAACAGTGTGTCGTTTAAGAGCAGTAGCTCCAAAAACAGATTGCCTGGGTCCAAATCCTGGTTCTACCACCTGTTAGCTGTGTGACCTTGAGTACATTTACTGAAATCCTCTGAGCATCCATTTGTCTATCTGAAAAATGGGGATCATATGGTATAAGCATGATCCAATGTGTATGTGTCTCAGAGAGTGATACTTAACCACCCTCAAGGTTCCTTTGAGGAGCAAATAAGTTAATTCATACTCAGTATTTAGCTGAGTGGCACATAGTAAGAGCTCAATCAATATTAGTATTGTTATTTGCATTTGAAAAGGACATCAGTAATTCTCTTTGAGAAGACTTGGGGATGAAACTTGCCCTTCATCATTTGAATTTGACCAGAACTGGAGATGATCAGAAGCTCTTCCTGCAGCATCTAATTCCGTTCGGAAATGTAGGGAGACTCCAGATATATGAAATCTAGGACATGGCCCAACCCATCAAATCTTACCACTGTGTCTCAGAACAAGATGGAGTTTTATTGCTAAATCTATCCAAGTTTCCTTACTTTCTGGTGCCTCCAGCTCTGCCATGGAATCCTTGGGTGGTGCAAATTGTTAATGCCCTTGACTGCTACCCAAAATGTTGGAGGTTCAAGTCCACCCAAAGGAACCTTGGAAGGAAGTCTTGGTGATCTGCTTTTGAAATTCTGTGGAGCAACATGTGGGGTTGCTGTGAATCAGAATCGACTCAGTGACAACCGGCTTGATGGTTGTTTTTAGTTTTGTTTTGTTCCGTTTTGTAGCATTGCCATGGATGGTTGCTCCAATTCCCTGGGGGAACAAACTCTGGGAAGTGTGGTCACAATTCCTCCCCTCTGAGACAGTCACACTAATCCATGTGAAGTCACTGCATTCTGATACCAGCATCTGGGATATGTTTCTGAAATAGTGTTTTGCTAAGGGAAGCAAATGCCTGTTCTTTTCTCTCTCCTACGTTGGGGCCTTTGGATGACTTGATAATGTCCCTAGAATACTGAATTGCCTGTTCCTCCCACAACTAATTGGTAACCAATGGATTCAACTTCAGAAATGTTTCTTGGAGCTGACCTTTTGTCTCCACAGTTCATTGTTTCCTGTCCTGGTCTTGTTGTTTCTATTCATCTTTCCAGATTTACATGTCTGCTTATGTAGCTCTCTCCTGAACAATGTTCGATGGCACCCCAACTCTTTAGCAAAGCCTTCAAAGCCATTCACAATATGTGCCCCATGTTGTAATTCACTTCCATTCCAACAACAGTTATGAGCATTATATTTGTTGCTAAAGACATAAAAATGAATAAAGGTGATAAACAAATATCTCCTACCCTCAAAGGGCTCACAGTTTGGGCCTAATTTGAGATTACCAGTACAGTACTAACCAATACATGAATTACGTCATTCAATTCTCACTGTAGTTTAAGGGAGAAAGATGAGGTTTTCTGCTCCTGTAAAGATTTACAGCCTCAGAAACCCTACATGGGGTTGCTATGAGTCAAAGTTGACTCAGTGGCAGTGAGTTTGGTAGGTGGGTAGTTCACAAAGATTGCTTATTATGATATTATTTGATTGCTCCATTTCTCAATCTCACCAGCAAGGTCTGAGTGTTACCGTCTCTCTACACCCTTGCCAGTATTTGTTGTTTTCTGTATGAATCCCTATTTTATAGATGAAGAAACAGGCTTCTTGAGGTTAAGTAATTTATCTAAGTTTACACAGTTCCTCTGCTGTGGAACCAAGATTTAAACCAAGTACTTATTTTATTATATATTTAAGCCCACTACTCAAAACCTGAGCATCTAACCATGGCTTTATGACTCTTCTCTCAACCCCTCCTTTCCTTTGGCAGTTGGCCATCTTGGGTGGGGAGCTCCTATTGAGACTTCTGGCCTGTAGTGAGGCAATGAATGTCTCCAATGGCAACAAGGCTTTCCCAGCTCCCATTGATGGCTACTCGCTAGCTGTGGTTCTTTCTCCTCATCACTCTGCACACACTCTCTCTCTCCATTTGACTCCTTACCCTTCACAGAGGGTTGGATTTATCTGGTGAGCACTTCAGGTATCTAGGTTAGTGATGATGGGTAAGCAGAGAGAGAGAGAGAGAGAGAGAGAGATTAAGGGATGACAAGCTTAAACAGTGGCCATTGTATTTGGTTAATGAAAATAACCAATCACTGCATGTATTTGGTACCCAAGGCCCACAAAACAGTGACACCTCATTTTGTCCTCACAGCAACCATAGGACATAAGCAGGAAAGATATTGCCATCTTTCTTTCACAGATAAGAAAACAGAAGTTCAGAGAGCTTCAGGAGCTTGCCCAAGATCATACAGTTACATGGTCAGTTTTTGGACTCCCAGGGCAGTGACCTTTCAACCTTCAACTTGAAAACTCCTTGAGATGAATTAATTTCCACTGACTGCACACTGGTAACTGTCAGCAATAGTGAAACAAACAAACAAAAAAACATATCTATAGTTACTTCAGTGGGATTTTATAAAATTATCAAATCAAAAAATCGTCCAGTAATTGCAAAGGTAGATAGATTTCCCAAACCTCTAAAACAAAGAGGCATGTGCACTCAAATAGGCCAATTTGCATCTTGCATATCATATTTATTATGTGCCAAAGTTTAAAGCAATTTACAGATAATAATGAAATCCTCATGACAATCTATAAGTGAGTACTATTATCACCTCCACTTTGTTGTTGTTAAGTGCCATCAAGTCTATTATGACTCATAGCGACCCTGTATTGGGTTTCCTAGGAGCAGCTGGTAGATTTGAACTGCCAACCTTATGACTGCAGTCCAGTGCTGATCCTACAGTGCCACACCAGGAGTCCACCTCCACTTTACAGATGGGAAAATTGAGGCACAATAAGGTAAAATGACTTGCCTAAGGTCATACAAATAGTGTAAAGGAGAGAAGAAACAGTTGGCTGTCCTGGGGGGATGGGGGGTGACTGTCCCAAGCAGCTTTTCAAGCCAATACTTGCAGGCCCTCCATGCTTCATCCTCCATCAGGCTCTGATCCCAGTTACTTTCTCTTAAAGTCACCTCTCCCAGATGCCACGTTCTCTTTAATTGTATGAAGGGAAGAACTAGGAAAAGGCCATAAATCCGCTGATAGGACACAGATGTAAAGTAGAAGAAATGTGGAGAAAAGGCATGGTTCCTGGCCCTCCTGCATGGATCATTTTCTCAACATTTTACCTCAGAAGCCTCGTTGACAACAATGGCCACAGGGTCATGTCCATAGTACCTTGTCTCTGAAGAAGGGTGCAGGCATCCACGCCCTAGTCTCACACCAAAGCACACTCATCTCCTCTGCTTAACCTGTTAAATTAACATCCCAGGATATCTGTCTTCTGTCACTGTAGCCTGCATTCTAAAGACACAGTGATGTCCCTGGGACCCTCCTTCTAGTCTACAGATTGGTGGCGATGGCTAACTTTCTCATTCAGCCCCATCCCCTGGGCATTCATTGAATTCTTCTCTTTCTTTCTCTCTCTCTCTCTCTCTCTCTCTCACACACACACACACACACACACACACACACGTTGTGAGGAGTGATGCGGGCAGTGCTCTGCTCCTCCAACACTGCAGTGTCCCTGGGTTGTACTGACAGAGGACTGCAGTAAGAAAGAGGCAGTTCCGCACGGATGGTTTCCCGCAATCAAAGGGCTTTGGAAATCAAAGTGCGTACTCCAGTTTCATTGAGAAAGAAAACCACCACAGCCACCCATCACATACAAGTGAGAGTTCAGTCTTCTTGTGGAATATAAATATGCTGGATTTTCAGCATCAGTCAGGTACCTCACAGTGCACAATGTATTGGGTAGAAACATAAAATGGCCTAAGAAAACCCACAGACATCCATCTGTTTTGCTTCAGATAGCTCTCAAGTTGGAGGGTGTGCTAAAATAGTGTGTTGTCCAGTTCAGCAAATTAAGAAAAATTCAGGTGAATCTGTACCACCAAGATGCCACGTACAACCTCAGCTTGGCATGTCTTGCATTCTTGGACTCAGTTGTGATTGTTGTTGTTGTTGTTGTTAAGTGCCATCGAGTCGGGTCCGACCCATAGTGACCCTGTACAGGGTTTCCGAGGGTGTAAATCTTTACGGGAGTAGAAAGCCTCATCTTTCTCCCGCGGAGCAGCTGGTAGTTTCGAACTGCTGACCTTAAGGTTCGCAGCCCGATTCGTAACCACTACGCTACCAGAGCTCCTTTGTGATTAGATGTTCATAATTACGGGCATGTCTGAAACGCTCATGTTGTAACTAAGCTAAGATGGAAATGAAATGCCTCTTCTTGGAACAGCCTCATTTTCCCCTGGCTGGGTAAGTCCCAGCATACACTTCTTCCCAACATCATGCTGTATCTAGGAAGCCTGTGTCTTCGTGACAACAGAAACAGAACAACTTTCCTTGAGGTTTGGCTCTTCACTACACAGTGTCTAATCAAACTGCTGCATCGCAACAGGTATAGTTGAGTAAACCATGAAAATCTTTTTATTTCATTTGCTGAAGTGAGGTGTGACCAACCAGAAAGAACTAGATGTGTAGTGTGACTCCCTGCAGGGACAATTTCTGTGGCTGATATGTATCCTGATGCATATAAGTGCAAGGTGTAATTCCGTGTTTCATTCCTGCACAGATAAACCAAGCTCTGAAGTTCAGAGCTGGAGAGGTGTTTCTACCTGCCACATTGCACAGTTTAGGTAGATGTGTAATGTATAAAGAGCCCAGAGACTCACATATGTGCCTGGGTCACCCCTTTCTGCTCAGGCTATGACCCTGTTCAAGCCCCTTAGTTTCCTTTTCTCATGGATTTCTCTGCAGTAAAGTGAGAATATTAGAATCTGCCTACTGTAGCCTACCTCCTAGGGCTGCTGTGATGAGTAAATGAGGTGATGAACCTAGAAAAGCCTAGTAAAGTGCAAGGCATCATTTAAGCTTCAGATATTACAGGTTATTATATTTCTCCTAGGGGATAACACGAAGGGGGAGATGTGGTTGGAAAATTCACCTTCAGTGTCTCTTTGTCCATGTCCCTCCCAGTCACAAGAGGCAGAAGGAGCGGAGGGGTGGCCATCTATCCACAGAACTGGAAATGTGGTGATACCTGGCCAGCACTCTGCAGCTTGTCCACCATGCCAGCCTCTGATGGCAAATCATTCTAGCCAGGAGAGGAACTGTTCTGAGGCTCCAATAGCCCAATAACAGCTCTGCCTTGGGAACCTTGAAGATCTCACTTCTCATCTGTGAGAGGAGGGGGTGGGACTAGACCTTTCAAAGGCAGTGGTGGTTCCGTGGGAGAACTCTCACCTCCCAGACAGGAGACCTGGGAATGCAGCTCATGGGCAGGTCTCACCATCTGCCATTGGGGGTTATTGTGTTGCTAGCATACTGAACAGGTTTCAGCAGAACTTCAGGCGAAAGAAGAGAGGACTAGAGATTAATTTCTGAAAAATCTGAAAATCAACCAATGAAAACCATATGGATCCCAATGGTCTGATCTGCAACTGATCCTGATGATGGTACAGTATTGGGCAGTGTTGGGTTTCATTGTATATGGTCCACCATGAGTCAGGGCTGATGCAATGGCAACCAGTAATGACAACAATAACAAGGCCTCTTTCAGGCCTCTCTTGTTCCTACTTGTCTATGCCTTAGTTTCCTCATCTGTAAATTAGTAGCATTTCCCCCAAAGGTTGCTGCAAGGATTAAATGAGTTGCTCCACATAAAGCAATTAAACACATTGATGGCACTGTGAGCATTAGATAGCATTAGCTATCATGCCTGATTATAAAAATAAAGACCTCCTTCAAAATGAGGGTTTGTAAGGACGTCTTTGGAGTCCTGGTGTGGTGCTGTGGGTTAATGCGCAGGACTGCAAAGTCAGTTTGAACTGCAGGGTCAGCGGTTCAAGCTCACCAGCCGTTCCTCGTATACCCGGCTTGCTATGAGTCGAAACTGACTCAACGATGGCATTTAACAACAACAACAAAGGATGTCTTTGATGGTATTTGCCATGGCCCTGGAAACCAATGGGGAAAGACAGGCAGAGCTGTGCAGGCCTGGGCACCTACTCTTTCCCCCGACCACTTCTATGTACCTTTGCTCTCTGAGGCAGGTTCATCATGGTGTCTGGCTTAAAGTCATTCTTGTTCTTCCTGCAGAGCACAGCAGTGATGATGATGATGATCACCGTGACGACAGCGATGGGGGCCAGCACAGCAGCGATGATCCACAGGTTGTTGGGTGGGTTCTTCACCACAGCTGTGGAAAGAACAAGTGAGAAACAGGAGATGAGGAGCACTGAGCAGAGCAAGACGGAAGTGGCTCTGAGGTAAGTCCTCCCAACTCCATGTCGGTATTGGAGGAGAATATTGGAAGTACCACGGACCGCCAAGTAACCAGCAGATCTGTGTTGGAAGAATTGAAGCCACAAGGCTCCCTGGAAGCCAGGATGGCCCAACTTCATCTCTCATACTTTGGACATATTACCAGGAAGGACCAGTCCCTGGAGAAGGATATCATGCTTGGTAAAATGGAGGGATCGGAGAAAAATAGGAAGACCCCCAACGAGATGGACTGGCACAGTGGCAGTAGCAATGGGCTCAAATAGAGCAACGATTGTGAGGCTGGCGTAGGACTGGGCAGTGTTTTGTTCTGTTATGCATAGGGTTGCTATGAGTCAGTACCAACTCACTGGCACCTAACAACAACAACTCCATATCACTAGATGAAAAGGGGATGGAGGTGAAAAGTTTTGGGGGTCAAAAAGACTCTGCCTTTGCCACTGTGACCTTGGTAAGTTACTCAAGATCTCTAAATCCCAGCTTCCTAATCTGTAAAATGGGGCTATTACTTAGCAAGGCATCAGTGAGACAAAGTACATGAGGTGCTTTGGCTCAGTGTGAGGTCCCCAGGAAATGCTCAGTAAATGTTAGTCTTCATGACTGTCAAGAAAAAGGAGGACGATGTACCACTGTCAATTTTCTCTACTGGTGAATCCCATGAGCCCAAGGAGAAGAAGGGAGAGAAAACTGAAGGATTAGAAGCAGGTGGTAGAATCAGGAGACAAAGGCCACAGAGAGATGATCCTCAGAGTGAGCAATGAATAAAATGCAGAATAAGTGGATGAATCTCTCCCAGAATAGATGGCAGGGAAACATTCCAGACTCATCAAAAGGACATGGCTGACCTCAGAACTAGAGTAAAGAAAAGTATAACCAAATGATCATCAGCTAGAAGGATGAGCCATTAGGATGTCGGTGCCTCTGGTGGTGGAACTAGGATGAATTAACTTGTAAGGAGCAACAGGCTGATGGCCATACTCTATGGACTCTGAGTTATAGGGTGAATTCAACCACCAAAACTCATCAAGTGCTCTACTTAGGATTAGTGTAATCCATTGTTATGTAAATTTATCTAAAATATTACAAACAATATTGAAATCTAGTTACTGATAGTTGTTGGTAAGTGCAGTTGAGTCGGTTCTTACTCATAGCAACCCTGTATAGGGTTTCCAAGGAGTGGCTGATGAGTTTGAAACACTGACCTCATGTTCAAACCAACCTTGTGGTCCGTCCAGTGCTTTATCCTACAACGCCACACCAGAACTGCTAGTTAAGGATATGCATGCTCAAGTATTTAAGGTTGAAGTATACTGATATCTGTAACTTATTTTGAAATATTATAGACTGCCAGAAGAACAAACAAATCTGTTTTGGAAACAGTATGGCCGGATTGCTCCTCCTTGGAAGCATGGATGGTGAGACTTTGTCTTTTGTACTTTGGACATGTTGTCAGGAAGGACTTGTCCCTGGAGAAGGACATCATGCTTGGCAAAGTGAAAGGTCACTGAACAAAAGGAAGACCCTCAATAACATGGATGGTACACAGTGGTAATAATAAGGAGCTCAAACATAGCAACAATTGTGAGGATGGTGCAGGACTGGGCAGTGTTTCATTCTATTGTAGGCATGGTTGCTATGAGTTGGAACCAGCTCAACAGCAACTAACAACTGGGGATCCGATTTATATATCAAACTCTTATAAATCTGGTTAACACAAGTTGATTCTCCTAATCCTGCTGAACTTGGGGGTGGTGGTGGATACCAGACCTGCAAAACTTAGGACCAGACCCTGGAATATGAAGACCCCACTGGTAAGTTGCATGTGATGAGGACCTGCTCAAGGAGCCAGCCTCCTCTTTGACTATGACCACCTCTTGACTTCAACTAGAGGAGCACTGGTGATGCAGTGGTTAAAACAGTAGATGGCTAACTGACAGGTCAGTGATTTGAACCCACTAGCAGCTCCAGGAGAGAGAGACGTGGCAATCTGCTTCTGTAAAGATGTCAGCCTTGGAAACCCTATAGGTGGATCTTTGCTATCCCAGAGGGTCACCGAGTCAGAATTGACCCAACAGCAGTGGGTTGATTTTTGGGGGGTGAGGGTGCCTTCATCTGCTATCTTCTTAGCCAAGAGTTGCCTCTCCTCCAGCAACACTTGGATTTGAAGTAGTAATAGTACAAAAGAGCTTATTTTCCAGATTTTACCAATTGGTGATTAATCACATTATTAGTTTCTGAATACAGCTCATTAGAGAATGTGCTTCTGTTGACATTAACACTTAATTGCTCTTCTTTTTAGTAATTCAGTATTTATATGTGAGCTTTATGCCATGAACATTTTTTAAAGCTTAGAGCTCCTGGGAAAAGCATCACAATGTGTCTCTTTGGCTATGCTAGTCTATCCTGATGTGGTTGGCGATGTAGGATCATCACTGGACTGAGAACCACAAGGTCTGCAGCTCAAACCCACCAGCTGCTTCTCAGAAACCCTATACAGGGTCATGATGAGTCAGAACCAACTCCAGGGCACTTAACAACAACAATAGCAACAGTGTATGCTGATGGAGAAAAATGCACAGCATGTCAGAGCACCATCCCTGAATACATAATATTTTTCATTAGCTAGAGTGAGGTATTTACAGATGTTTGGCTTTTACTCAGCTGTATTGTTTTGGCAGCTGTGTTTCCCCTTGGAGCAGTATGTAAAATCCCTTCACCGCTATAGAAATGGGGAAAGAACAGATTTGTCTTATGAACATTAATAAATTCACTTAACGGTCAAAATGATAGTAAAGGCAGGTCATCCGAAACCATCCAAACCCAATATATTCATTGGCATAATGATCTAAAAGTACAAGGTCATGTACAGAGGTGAAAGAGAGCAAATGACAATTTAAGTGGCAAGAACCACAGAGCAGGAAGCTATTACAAGGAGCCAACATCAGTGAGTAGCTACTGCCATCAGTCCTTTGCCCACATGCCTGCTGGTCTCCAGCCTGCAGAGGAAGCAGGCCCTGGGAGGTTAGATGCTTTGGAAGGCATTTCTCTATACACAGTGGAAGTCCTGCCTGAGTTTACACATGAGAATGAAAGTGCACTTTGACACATGAAAGTGTTTGTCAGAGAAATGAAGAATCATCTAAACTCAGGATAAATTATTCCACATAGAATAAATATTAAATGGAGAAGGAACACATTTTAAAAATGTTCCCAGCTTGTTTTAGCACTGCCACACTCAACTTGAACCTGAGTTAATTACCTTGTGTGACTCAACCTGGGAAGGAGTCTAGCCCAGTGCCCAGTAGCCAGTGAGTGCTTGGTCCATGTTTTTCTCTCGCCTAAACTCTTATGAGGTTACCTATCCCACTTGGGGCACAGCCCACTCCTGATCTTATCTCTCTTTCCTCAGTGGTCTCTTTGCTGAGCCCCAAACCCTCCAACCACCTTGTGCTTCTGGCCCAACTTTCCCCTCTACCTGGAACCTTGTTCGCAGATACCCTCAGACATCATTCCTTTGCTCCCTTCATTCCGGTGGTCACTCCAAGGTTACCTCAGTGAGCCCCTCCCTGGATCCTCTGTAACTTAACATGCAACCAAACCCTTTCTAGTGGGGCACTATATGATAATGTACTGGCCTGCAATGTTGGTGTGAATCACAAGGTTGGTGGTTCAAATCCACCAGCTGTTCCTCAGAAACCCTAGACAGGGTTGCTATGAGTAGGAACCACTCAACAGGCACCTAACAACAGTAACAACGTCTCCTTCCTGATGTTCTCTAGCCCTTTCCCTGTTTACTTTTGTCCATCACATCAGAATCTAACACATTACCATGTTTTTACACAAATAATGTGCATGTCACATGGTTGTTGCAAACAGTGCAATGCCCTTGAGCATTAGTTCCCTATGGGCTCTATGCAGTTGTATACATGTGTATATTACTTTTGTGGGTATGTTATATGTGAAGAATATGGAACTTATTTATTTCATTTACTTGATCTGCACCCTCAGGACTGTCTACTCCAAGAAGTCAGGGGTTTGTCTGCTCTGTTCTGCTGCATCCCCAGGGCCTACAACAGTGCCTGGCACAAGATCATCAGTTCTACATTCCACCAATCATACAAGATCATCAGCTCCACATTCCACCAATCACACAAGATCATTAGCTCTACATTCCACCAATCACACACTTTGTTTCATCTCAATGATCGCAGTCCCCTCCATGCAACAACAGTTCTTCCACTTCCTCCCTGTGCTGCCTACTTCCGTTCCACCCTCCTTCCTATCCCTTCTCAACTGTGTCCTTAGGTAAATGTTGCCCTTTTTGATCTTGAATGATTGACCATTCCATGATGACCATACATTACTAGTGTTATTGCCTTCCCCCTACATCCCCCATAGTCTATTGATTTCTTCAAGTGAGTTTTTTAAAAGATAGAGGTCTAATGACCACATGAGGTAAACTGCTTCTGGTTTTCGTTGCTTCTTGGCAAGAAAACTTCCCCCCATTCCAGCAGCTGGATGACAGCCCCTAAAGGCCTCACACCACGACACACAAATGGAGCAGATGAAAACCTCCATCTAAAACACAGGCTCTTCTAAGGAATCCAATGCTGCACTGTCCCCAAAGATGACAAGGTCAAGTGGCCACTGTCCACTTCCATCTTGGCCCTAGAACTATCAATGTAAAGGCACTGGGACACACAGAGACTTGATGCTGTCTCTTCACAGGGACAACACGTTCATTCACCACTGTGGTTCTCTCTTCAAAGTGCTGACCTCAAAACTATTCAGAGAAAATTAAACTTACAAAATCCCTGTTCCCCCTCCTTCTTAATGGCTTATCTCTTCTCCTCACCTGCTACTGGAGAGTAGGAAGCTATGGAAAGTCACATAATGAGGGGGACAGCGACCAAAAGGAGGGAAGCGCAAGTCAAAAAAGGTCACTTCAAAAATCCGGAATACAGAGGGCAACCATTATTCCTAGGGGACAAAGTGAAAGCCACCACAGCACAGGGTCTGGGCCATCACCCTGGCAGCAAGTCACTTAGAAAGAAGGAAGAAGACAGGAGGGAAGGAGAACCAGGAACCAGGTGTCAGCTTCTCAAAGAGCAAGAAAAGCAACTGAGAGATGATCTGAGAGATGATCTTCCATGCCTTTTATGCTAAGTTTGTTGCCAAATACTAAAATTTCTATCACACAATCTCTCATCTTGCAATCCCCCCTCCCCCACGTACAGTCCACCTCTGGACCACCAACCCTTGGGTCACCATGGACACCACTTCCTAGACACTGCTGACAGAGCAACCTCCCTCAATCAGGGGCAGTTCCAACGATACTGCTCCCTGGCTCAGAAATCTCCAACTCCAGAAAGCCAATCAAATAATATTCACACTCCTTCCCTTGACGTTCAAGACCCGAGTCCTCCAATCAATAACCTTTCTAGTTCCATCTGTTCCTTCGCATGTTTCCTCACTCCAGGAATTTGAACTCCTTGTTTTCAAGCACAGCTGGTGCTTTTCTTCTCCACTCTCCTACAGCACCCTCTTTCTGTAATACACAGCCCCCCTCTCCCATTGCTGAAATCTCATAGAGTAACACAGTTAAGAACACAGGTTTGAGACAAGTCGAGCCAGATTCATACATTCTGAAGCACTAGGTCTGGGACTGGATTACTGAGCAGGTCACTTCACTTTGCTGAGCCTTGGTTTTCTCATTTGTAATTTGGAATTGAATACACTCTGTTCTAATGAGACTGTCCCGGTATGGTGCTGTAGGTTAAGCACTGGATTGCAAAGTCGGCAGTTCAAACTCATCAGTCACACCTCAGAAACCCTATTCAGGATTGCTATGAGTTGGAACCAACTCTAGGGCACTTCACAACAACAAATGAGAGTGGAAAATGAGATCATCTCTGCAAAACAACAGTATAGTATCTGTCACCAAGGAGAGTATGCAAAGAAGTAGCTGTTGATTGTTTGTATCTTTTCTCTACTAATTATATTTAGATGCCCCATTCAATGCAAACTCTGTTGACTTGCTGTATCTCTTTGGTTTCTAGTAGCCGGTCCCTACATTCCACTCCTTCCTACCTGCACTCATCCCCCAATCCCTGCCGCACCTTCCAGGTTTGATTGTCCTCCAGCACCGAGCAGAGTTCATGTAGGTCTCTAGAAATGTTTACTGAATCAAATAGCCTCTAATCCCTTCAGTATACAAATATCATCTCAGCCACAGTGATTTGTCATAGCTCTTCACTAGTTTATGTTGAGGAGGAAAAGCAGGGAGGCAAAGTAGGATCACGACTGTTGTTCTAATACCCAAAATTTCCCTTGCCCCAAATCTATTGCTTTAAGCCACATGGAAAACAGCAGATCGATTTAAGAAATCTTCCAGAACAGAATTAGGTTGAGCTCTGGGTCCATTTCTTTGATTCCATTAAGATAGAAATCACTTTGATTTGTAGAAGCCATTGAACAGTGGCATTAAATATAATAAATTAAAAGGCTGTCCTTACGGTCAGCTTGTAGAAGAACAACATGATGCAGGGTCAAGGCCATCCTCTGGGAGTCGATGGTGCTCAGGATCTTGGCTGCTGCCGTCCCCAGCAAAGGCTTCCCATTGTACAGTGTATAGTAAGTCAGTTCCGCTGGGTCCTTTGGCCCTGGCACACGCTGCATCTTTACCATCTTTCAGAAAAAAAAAAAGAGAAGCTGTTTACAGTGCATCTGCCATCAACTTTGCATTTGACCCTGCATTCACACCTGCCACTAGCAGGCTCTCTCCTCAAATTACTGAAGCCTTCAGTGGTTAATTGGAGCCACAACATGTTTTTTAGACTTCCACCTTTGTGTGCCTCTCCCCCCGCATCACCAGCACCTCAAGATGCCCTGCTGTGGATGAAGGGGAAGACTGGAGGAGAAAAAAGATTGTGAAAATATGATCATCTGGAAAGAAGAGTTCAGGGTTGGGGAAGAAACACTGGAATGCTGATGTTTTCTAGCTTCCACACAGGAATCTGCCCTCAATTAAAAATAGGCCATTACATTAAATCAGGACATGTTAGGTTAGTCTCATACACGATTTTTAATTTCAAATTCCTGTAACTGCCAGAAAGGAAAGACAATGAATGACTATGTGTGTAACACAAAAGATGTCTGATGAAAAGCAGTACTAGAGGACATGATGTTCTTTCTCTAAATTAACATTTGTTATCCCTTCTCATTTAAAAGTTATACATATTTACTTCAGAAATCTGAAAATCTGCAAAAGCAGAAAGAAATGAAATGAAATAAAAATCACCTGCAAATCCCTCTATCACAAGCTAATGAGTATTTTTATTTTAGACCATTTGCTTGTATTCATTCTTTTTTTCCCACTCAAAAATATTTTGTTTACAAAGTTATTTATCAGTTTTTCTATATACTATCATACCTGCTATTTCTACTTGTATATTTAAATGACCTTAAACATAATAAAAGCATAAATGTTCATTTCTACATGTTGTTCCAATGCATACTTCATAAGCTTACTTAACAAATTCTTTATCATTAATCATTTAAATTGTTAGTAACTTTCAGTTTTAATGAACAATTTATCAACATTATAAATACAGAAAACATAAATTTTTATATCTGTGTAGTATTCAAGTATACATTAAACATACTTGCTATTGTTGTTGTTAAGTGCTGTCGACTTGGTTCTGTCCCATAGCAACCCTGTATATGGTTTCTGAGGAGCAGCTGGTGAGCTTGAACCGCTGATCTTGCAGGTCAAACTGCTTTTGCAGTCTGGCTCATTAACCCACAGCACCATACCAGAACTCCTTAAACATACTTAACTAACCCTTTATTATTATCAACATTTCACTATTATCATTAATAGTTGATAAAAATTGTAGTAGAGCATTTGCCAAAATATGTACTATAGAATATAAGTTTCATAGGCTACTAAAAAGATATTTAAAAAAATGTTTATAGCAGCATTGTTAAGAATAGCAAAAATCTGGAAACATCCAAGTCATTAGTAGTCGAATATCTGAATTATGGTATAGTTATCTATAGTCACACAATGAAAAATATTTCATAAAATAGTAATCATATGTGAATTGCTATTAATATCAAAATGTGTGAATACAACAGTCTGACATTGAGCAAAAGAAATAAATCACAGGATATAAAATTCAAAACCAGGAAAAAATAAATGATATACTATCTAGAGATCCACATGTGGATATCAAAAACGATGCAAAAAGAATGATTTAACATAAAATTGAAAATCACACTGACCTTTGGTCAGAAAATGGAGGTACAATCTGAGAAGGCACAAGAGAGGGGCTTCTGGATAGGTAAGGTAAGGGGAATGTTTTTATCCTTTGGGTTATTTTTTTTAATTAGTGTTCTTTAAATTCATATTTTGCATGCATGTTTATATGTATGCTGTATTTAACAATTAAAAGAAAAACAACTACAACCCAATTAAAACTGGTGCAAAAGATCTACCCTTAAAGTTCACAAAGAAAGATATTTGAATAACCAATAAGCACATCAAAACGGCTCAACATTACTATTCTTCAAGAAAATTCAAGTTAAAACATCAGTGAGACACCAATATATAACCACTATAATGGTTACAAATAAGAACAACACCAAGTGCTCTCTACACAGCCTGCTGGCAATAGTGTAAAATGGTACAACCACTTTAAAGATGGTCTAGCAGTTTCTTATAGATCTAATGTACACTGACTCTATAAGCTATCAAATTCACGCCCATTTATTCAAGAGAAATAAAACCATATGGCCATAAAAAGACTTGTAAAGGAATAATGATAGCAACTTTATTTATAATAACTAACCCCAGAAAAAGCCCAGATGCCATTCAATAGAAGAATGGAGAAACAACTGGTAGTGTACACATACAAGAAAAGATTATTCAGCAATGAAAAGGAATAAACTACTGAATAACACAAAAACACTGATAAATCTCAAATAAAAAAAAAAAGCTAAAAAACTACACAGAATCAAAAAGCTTTACATAAATATATATATACTGTATGACTCCACTGATATGAGGTTCTAGAAAGACCAAAACTAATTTACAATATGGAAATCATTTATGCAGGCATACCTCAGAGAGGGTGCCGGGTCCATTCCAGTCAACCATAATAAAGCTAGTCACACGAATTTTTGGTTTTCCAGTGTATCTAAAAGTTATGTTTGCACTATATGTAGTCTATTACGTGTGCAACATCATTATGAAAAAGTTGGAAATATTGTGAGAATTACCAAAATGTGACACAGAGACACGAAGTGAACACATACTGCTGGACAAATGGTGCCCATAGATCTTTAATTAGTAAAAATCCATAAAGTCTAGGCGGGGCTTGAAGGCGGCTAGGGTGGAGGTGCAGTGAAGTTTGCCATCAGTGATACCACAGAAAACCAGGCAAAGCAGATCCAGGGCAGAGCTCTAAAGCTCTGAACCACAGAGATAGGAATATTTAAAAGGTTTGAAGGCTTATAGCTAGTGGAAATTGGCGAAAGTAAGGAATCGCATGCTTTGAATCTGCCGGGCTCAGTGGCCCAAAGCTGACAACTTGGGTGAAACCAAACGGCAAGACCAAATGGGAGAGCAGACACACCACGGAAAAATGCCTCAGGAACCTTGGAGCAAAGGTGGACAATATACTTTGTCGGTTTTGCTTTGTTCTGATTTTCTTTTCTTTTCTTTTTTTTTTGGTATCTGATCATTGCCCCCACCCCCACTGTTTGTACACCTCCATTCTGGTGACTAGAGGGCGTGCCTGGGTGAGTGGACCCCTCCACCCTCACCACTGGTGGGTTCTTCTCCCAGGCATGTGTACAGATACTCTCAGACCAAGAGCTGGTCCTGAACTGGTTTTTTCATTTGTTTGTTTGTTTGTTTAAATATGGGAAAGGCCAGGACAGGGATGTAGAGAGGGAAAAAGAGTTTAAAAACAAAACAGGCCAAAAATTAAATTAAATACTGAGGTACAGCATAACAGCCAACAGTGGCATCTTGAAATCTCTCAGGCAGCTTTAAAGGCAAGAAGCTGAAGAGAAGACATTAAAGTCATACTCATATTAGGCTACAGATTTTTTTTCTTTTCTTTTCTCTCCCTCCTCTCCCTTTTCTGCAATTATAGACTACAGTATTCGATCTAGTTTTGTCTTTTTGTTGTTGCTATTGCTTTTTTGGTGTTTTTTTTTTTTTCTTGTGTTTTTTGCTGGTGCTGTTTTTCTGTTGTATGCTCCCCCTTCTACCTTTGGGGGACTCTTTTTCTTCCTATATTACCAAAGAAGAGACAGCAACTGCTGCCATATAGTCAAGCTAAACACCAAAACGCAGGCAAGAACCAATACCAACTGCCATATCCTAGGGAAACAGACAACACCTGTGAAAGTTACTCTGAGTTAGGCAATAAGAAGAGTGAAAAGGGAAGCCCACA